CTGAGTAGTTGAAAGTTTTGAACATTCAGCTGGAAAAAAATGATTCCACGTGTTCTTCATTGAGTGGCAAAATTAGTCAGCTAACCTTTGAGATAGATAGACTCCATGATGAACTTCAAGCCCAAGAGGAAGAGAAAAATATAATTGGAATCAAGAAGTCAGCATTGGAAGAAGCATAGACAAGAGATGTTGCTAGCATAGCATCCATTGACCAGAAAAGGAAGACTCTTGATGATAGTTTTCTGCGACCGATCAATGGTGAGCGATCCTGATTGAATTTTTGATCTTTTTTTAAGACCATACTGTATGAATTTTGACTTGCTATTTTTTTTATTTGGATGAACTTTTCTTTTTCATATTTGTTGTATTTTTTTTAACTACAGCAACTAATAAACAAATTGAATGAATTTATTAGTTGTGACTGAATTTGAATTTATAATTTATTCAAGTTGCCTACGTACCCAAACGAGATTAAGTCGAACTTAGTTTATTACAAGAACACAATTCTTTTTACAATGAAAATTAAAAAAATAAAGAATTTCAGGCGTAAAAATGCTTTAAAATTTTTTCGTTGATAGGTCCGATTTGCAGTCCATCTTTGTCAATGATCTTGTACACTCCGTTAGTGAATGCACGAGTAACAAGAAATAGACCATCCCATTTAGGCTGGAACTTACCCCCTATTTTTCTTGTGATTGTGATCGGCCCGCGCACGGAAAGTACTAGATCTCCAACTTGAAATGACCTTGGTCACACCTTCTTGTTGAAGGACTTCGCCATTCGAGCTTGATAGCACTCCAGGTGCATTTGTGCTTCTAACCTCTTCTCATCAAAAACTTCTAGCTCGTTCAATCGAAGACGAGAATTTTCTTTAGTTGTCAAACTTTCTTGGATGTCAATTCAAAATTCAAAGTGACAGGATTTGACACTCCAGAGAAAGTACAACTTATACTCCATATACTAAGGCATAAGGAGTGACTTGTGTTGGAGTTTGATAAGTCCATAAGACTTCATCGATTTTCTCACGCCAATCTCTTTTTGATTTGGAGACAACCCTTTTTAGCAGACTGTATAGTATTTTGTTGAACGCTTCTACTAATCCGTTAGCTGCCAGATTGTACATGGACGAGTTGTACTTTGTGAACCCAAATTTTGTACATTAATTGTTTATGTGGCTATTGTAGAATGGTTTGCCATTATCGATTATGATATACCGAGGGACACCATATCGATAAATGATTTGGATACGAATAAAATCTGCAACATTTTCTTTCTTTACTTCCTTTAATGGTACGGCTTCGGCCCACTTAGAGAAGTAGTCGGTCCCGACGAGGATGTATGCATGCCCTGCTAAAGACTTTGGAATTATAGGTCCAATTACATCAAGACCCATGCTTTAAGGGCCATGAAGCTACTATCGGATGTAATGGTTCTGGAGGTTGATGGATGAAATTCGCATGGACTTAGCAAGTTTCACGTTTTCTTGCATAATCTATGGTGCTTTGTACCATAGTTGGCTAGTAATATCCCATCATTTTTATTCAAAAATAGAGTTTAGGTCTAGACTAATGGGCACCACAAATTCCGGAGTGGGTTTCTTCCATGACTTGTATTGCTTCATCATTACTCAGGCATTGAAGGAAAACTCTATCAAATGATCCTCGATAAAGTGTTCCCTTATAAAAGATAAAGCGAGAGGCACACCTCTTGATTTCAATTTTTCGTCATGGATTACCTGGTAGCTTTTGATGTTGAAGGAAATCGATTATCGACTGTCTCCAATCTTCTCTTTCCTCATCTTCGACACTA